TTTGAAACACTTTCGTTGTTTATATAGCTTAACGCTATCCCAACTATCGGAAACTCTGGCCTCTTTTCATCCTGCATAAGCGCACAGAGGTACAAGGACCATGCTCTTGAAATCATCCAAGAGGGATATTGTAAAGTAATTTTAATGACTTGTTTGCTCAGGAGGCATGTTGACGTAGACTTAGTATCCTGGAGGAGCTTTCAAGATCCCACTCCTTGACCGTTGGGATGTTATCATCTCGGGAGAAAAGATGATCGATGATATCAAGAAAGCTAGCTCTTTGGATCTCTCTTCTGTAGCCGCTTTTAGTGAGGTGCGTGCAATATATTCGTCGCTTTACTCAGCTTAATTTCAACTTTGTTATGTAGAACATGCAAACAGATTATACCATAGGCAAAGTTGTGAGAGTGAACACTTATCATGTTCCGGTACAGTGTTTTATTATCTATATTCAGCTGCGACGTTAATGATTCCTTGCCCAAAGGTTGTCCGTAGTCCCCTCACCCGTGCTTTGCCTGCACGATTCCATGATCTGCGGGACGAGATTGTAGCTTCTTTTGCGGATCTCGTTCCTGCTAAAGGTAACTTATAATCATCGGTTTACCTTCATCCTCCCACTGAAGGCTTTCGAAAGAGTCAGAATGGATGAAAGTTCCAATGTTGTCTACCATCATGCGGATCGTCTCTCGAACAAGCAACCGGTATTTTGTCGGTTTACCTCTGTGTATGTCTTTCACCTGCCATTCTTTTATTTCAATTGACGTTAGAACAAAGGCCGGAACCAGGACTACGTTGCAAGTACCTGCTTTCTAGATCAACATAATTGCCCTTAACAAATTTCGCAGAATCTCAACATAACTTTTACAGTCGACGCTGTCACTGGTGGAACTACTCTCCAGCGCTATCCGGGCTTTCTCAAACCGTTCGTTTCTCCTTGTCGATCTATGGCATTTGTCGTCGCTCATACTGGGTGTTGCTTTGATTGATAGCCTCGTGCGCCAATTCTTGACCAATGTTCCTGCTTCTATGGCACGCGCTGAAAGACATCTTGGGCCGTTGATCAGGGAGCGACTAGCAAAGGAGGAAGAACATGGAACCTCAGATTGGCCCGATAAGCCCGTAAGGATGGCTTCCTTGTTCAAATCTCTCACCTTGATTCTAAACTGGTTCTTGTTGGCAGAACGATCTCATTACCTGGTTATTGAAAGAAGTGGGCGAGCGCAATGAAAAAATCGTCAGCGATATTGTTCACCGCGTTCTCCTCATCAACTTTGCTGCGATTCACACCACGGTATGTTGCTATAAGTTTTGTATCAGAGTAACATTGTTACAAGTTCTTATTGCTTATAGAGCATGGTGCGTGTCCAAACTATCCTACTAGTATACGTGCTTATTTTTTTTGTCGCCATTAGACTTTCACCAATAGTATCTATTACCTGGCTGCCTACCCCCAGATTGCCGAGCCTTTGCGGGAAGAGGTCAGCTCCGCTATTGAAGAGTTGGGATGGACCAAGGCTGCAATGAGCAAGATGGTAAAGCTAGACAGCTTTTTGAAGGAGACACAGCGGTTGAGTGGTGTTAATGGAGGTAAAAACTCCCTCTCTCTCATCACATCGCATATGGCTATATCTGACTTGATTCGTTTAGTGGGCATGACCCGAATGGCACTCCGAGACTTTACATTCTCAGACGGCACTGTCGTTCCTGCTGGGACAATCGTCGCGGTGGCCTCGCAGGCTTTGCACCACGATGGAGTAGGTGCCGAACCGAGTCTATGATGTCGATGTGAAACTGAGCCAATTCCCTAGGCGTACTACAAAGATCCTGAAACTTTCAAGCCTTTCCGATTTTCCGACCTACGAGAACAAGAGGGAGAATCTCTCAAGCACCAGATGGCTGCCGTTGACCCTGCATTTGTGCTGTTTGGTGGTGGCAGACCCATGTGGTGAGTTTACAAAAGTCATCAACCATTGTAGGATCAAGAATATGTATACTCTTACTTTAAACTTATAGCCCGGGGAGATTTTTCGCAGTCAATGAGCTCAAGGCCCTCATGGCGCACGTTCTGCTCGCATACGATGTCAAGTTTGAAAATAACAAAGGGATTCCTCCTCCGAGTTGGCATGGAGTGGCGTATAGTCCGAATCGGTCTGCAGAGGTGATGTTTAGAAAGAGAGCGGTTTGCAACTAGGTGGCATAGCTACCTTTAAGGTTTTCCGAATTTGTTTTTCCACATCTCTCAACTCTTGCATATAGTCAGAGTCTGTATACAACCTCTTCTCTGTCATATTATGCATTGATAAACTCTTTGTAAACTCTGATACACCACGTTCCAGCCCCCGACTCGAACATGACATGACCATCTTCAACGAGGCCAGAACCTGGGACTCGGGAGACGCGGAATAACGAACCAGAAGAGATGATCCGGTCTTGCTGAAGAATTTCCATTATGATTGAACTTGGGAGGAAGAGAATAAACTGGTTTGACAAATCAATGCCAACGAACCATCCGATCCACCTGCTCTAAATACTCTCGTGGTTTTGTTAATCAAGAAAGCTGTTAATCAAAAAAGAACGTTAAACCGGACCGCTGCTCGTTCGAAACTAGAATACAGCCAACTAAGTAGTCTCTTTTGCAAGGCTTGTTCATGTTCCTGCTTCCTTTTTCGTAGTCGATGGTCATATTATTATTTTTTTTTTTTTCCAAATCGCCTCTGCGTGGTAGCGTATGGTAGTGATAATGTAAACTGTTATGATAGGTGTGTTCTGGGGGAACATCTAAGTCTGTGTTGAGTCTGTGTCTGATTTGTGTCTGATGATAGGCAGCCAGCAACAATTGGATCCCATGGGGTTCCACGACGGTCGTATTAGTAACCGGAACCAGGCTTCTAAAGCACACCTGAAGTCGAGAGTATAACGATGACTCCCTGCAAGGTCCCTGCCTGCCTGTTTTAAACTTAATTATTGTCAAATGAGGCTGTTTTTATCAACATATACTTGTATAGTTCTTTCTACCCTAGAACCTTGAAAAGTCACGATCAAAATGTATGTCGCCTACTGTGATTCAACTGCCCACTAATTTGCACCAAAGACTCGCTTGATAAAAATATACATCTTTTCCATCTTGTATTCCGGGGCTTTATCAAATAAATGGTCAATCCCGGGAAGCTCCTCGTACTCATAGTCAATGCTAACTCCTGTTTCCCTTAGCTCCTTCAAGACTTCTACAACAACACGCGACTGTGAAACAGGAACTTTTCCATCCTGTTCACCATGTACTATGTATGTGGGCGGCACCGGTGATGATTTATCTTGCCGAGGAAGCACTTTCAGATATCGTGCAACAGAGAAGGCAGTAGCAGGAACACTGGTTCCAGAAAGGAGGAGGTTATCCAGAAGTGCCCTTCCAAAGTAGTCAATGAGGTGTTGGAAGTCGAGGCAAGCTACACTTACTCTTGCACCATATAGTGGTAGAACATCGCTCGTGGGCTGTCCAGTGGAGAGAAGGCTACATGGCTCCCTGGGTCCTCTGGATTGAGGAATGGCTGGACTTCTTCTTCCGCAATCACTCTATCCATATATGACACGGGCCTTTGCTTTGTTGACCAAAAGGGATCTTCAAGATCAGTAATGGGGTAGATCGGAACTATGCCTTGCACTGCAGGAGGTTTCGATACTCCTGATTCGTCGAGTCCGATTCCATATCCACAGAGGAAGGAAATCCACCCTCCTGCAGATGATCCGGTTAATATTACACGAGAAGGATCTGCACGTCCCTCAGTGGCTGCTTTAAATTCCTCGCTATGAAGAAATTTCAGAGCATCTGCGCAGTCGGAAAGTACAGTAGGAAGGCGGAACTGTGGGGCAAGTCGATAATCCGGGCTAACGAGAGTAACGTTGTGCTCGGAAGGAGCAGAAAGATGATGCGGGGAGACAGCTGGTGCAGTATGAGCATTCAATCCTCTGGAATAAACGAAACCTTTACCTTTTCTGGTACCCTATACGATGTTAAAGCCTCATGAATACGAACCTTACGACATTCTGGTGACACTTGCCTGCAGTAGTCCTCCACCATGCCACCAACATAAAATCTATCGAAAGGATGACTTAGCAAACTAATATCAAGAGCAACCTTAGGCTTACCGGCGCTGGGTTCTCCGGTGATGCCGAAGGCGATAAATAAACGTCCATGTATATATCGATTCCATCTGCATGTTTAAACAAGATCTCGAGAGGCTTTGGGATGATAGGGGAGGTCATTGTAGATAATCACCTTCCTAGATGGGTGTTGAAGGGAAAGATGGGTGCGGTAAGCACTAGGAGAACTCGGTCAGCCGACTCAGGATTGTCCACATGATACATATTTCATTGAGCGAAAGATGAAAAGTGCACAGCGAGCAAGAGATAAAGAAATGAGAGAGTGTCAGTGAGCACCTGGACCCTACTAGTTGCCTCCTCAGTCCGACCGCCGACCGTCAATCTCGGAGAAAACTGAATCGAAATTGTTGAGCGCGGTGACTATTCAGAACGCGTAGTACTTACCTCGTTGAGATATAGCTTTCTATCAGATTGATCATTGCTGTTGATCAAATCCTCGGATATGTTGACTGGTACTAGGAGCAAGTTTCAACTCCATTTCAGAATGTGTTCAAGTTCCGTGGACCTTTCACTGTTACGCCCTACCCGCCTTCTTCACTAATTTATCATTATCTCCGCCTCCAACCGGCTGCGCAGTGCGCACTGCTGTATATGAGGAGGACTCTTACTTTCACAAAGTATGAACAGATTTCCCGTAATCCCTGTCCCCACTTTGCTCAATCGGCAGGAAGGTGGTCTGGGGAGCTCAACGTTCAACCGTGAGGCCGGACATCATGAAATGCTTAAGTTCAGTGAAACCCGAGAGTATAAAAGGACTCAAGCCGAATAAAAGCCTAAAGCTTGCTGGAGTGTCGCCTTAGCGTCTCTGTAAAAGACGAAAAAACATCTATCGAGGTCTTTATTGGCCAACGTGTGGATCGAACTCAAGACCTTCGCGTAATATAATATAAACTGTCTCTCATATTAGCACGACGCTCTAACCAACTGAGCTAGTCGGCCATCCAACAATAAGGTTAGTGGGCTGGATTAAGCACCTCGAGTAGCTAGAGCAACGGCAACAAACACTGGGCATCTAAGTCTGACAAAATTGTACTTGTTATCGTCGGTCTTGTAAATTATGGCTCAAGCGATTGTTTTTGGCTTGTTTCGCCCTTTGCTCCTCATCGTGACATTGCGCGTAGCCATTGGAGTTGGACAGAAGGTACACTCATAGTGTGGCTGGAAAAGCTCACAGTGTGTACATATACCCAAGGACGCAGAATACAGGAAGCAGAATACAGGAAGACTATCGAGGCAAAGCGAAGGAGAAGGAAGTCGAATAAATTGGATTATGAGTTTTGAAAGAGGGGGGAAGAAACTAAGATTTCTGCAATAACGCTACTACCGACGTACTCCGGGGGGTGATAGTGCACTCAAACGGCTCGGGGTGACTAGAAAAAGTAAATACATCTCAGCATTCAGAAAACCCAAGCGCAATGTCCGAAACCAGGTTACTCACCTAACAATCCCGTCCGTGAAGTTTCCCGAGGGCATCACAGTAACACCGTTCTTCACAGCAGGTGAAACATCGAAAGCTGCAAGTACAGTTGCACATGCGAGCCATACGGATGCATTACCTAGATGCATGCCTAATAACGATGTAACATGCTTAGAGCAATGGAAACTAATAGGGCTATCTTGCTTACTTACCCGGACACACGCTATACCATGTCGAATTGACTGTTGGTTGATAAGATGTTTCCTACTCACAAGGATCGACCACATACCGACGTCCAAAGCCAAATAGGTATTCTCGTGGATCTTTCTGGATGGAATTCCCGTTTGAGGCCAAGAAACGCTCTGGGGAAAACTTCTCTGGTTCAGGATAGACTTTTGGGTCGTTGTAGAACATCCTGTAGTTTCGGAACGGGATGTAAGGCCAGTAACTTGAAGCAGGGTCTATATATGCACGTACACATTATTTGTGAAAATCACTGAGCCTTTTGGAATGAAGTAGCCATGGTGTATGTCGTTCTCAGATAATGCATGTGGAATTCCTGTAAGTTAGACGATAAGAAGGGTTTGATTCTATGATTCTTGCTTTCTGGTGCTTACCGATAGGTCCAAGGGAATACACCCGCAGCGTCTCCTGTATAAGAGCTTCCACGTAGGGCAGTTGCTCGCGATCTTCGAGTGTAGGTAACCTGTCGTGTCCCACTACACTATCGATTTCTTTCTGAGCTTTCAATTGAGCGGATCGATGGAAAATCATCGCCATGAAAAAGGCCTCGATTGCACTGACTGTCTGAAGCACACTCATTGGATGCAAGCAATTAATGAAACTCGAAGCGTACCGTGTCAGTACCACCTGGAAAGCATAAATTGAACCTTGTTATAACTTTCAAATAGAGTGAACTAACCAGCGGATATAGAAACCGCAGACATTCTTATGATATGTTCATCATCCGAACTGAGAAGCTTGGTCGTATCCAGCTGGCTGGATACAAATGAAGGGCGAGCAGTTCCTGCAGCCTTGGAAAAAAATTATAACTGCAGTCAAGCTTTACGGTTTTGTCACTGACTATTTGCGTCTTGGTCCAACTGTACGGAATGTTCAACACATCATGCAAGGTTCTCCGATAATGATGGGCCTTCTTCTTCCATGCCGCCCCTGGGACCCATGAAGGGACATATTGAACTAGATAGAAATGACATCTAGTGAAAATGCCGAATAGCAGAACGCTTTCATCACTCACGGATAGGAAACGTATCGACAAGGAATGCATTCGGTGCAATTACTTCACTCAACTGATCCATCGCTTCATCGACCAATTCGACCATCGCATCATCCTCATTCCCGGATGTTTTGTATCCATACACCAACATCAAAACAATACCGCTGGCATACCTAGGAACGGCTTTTCATGAGTTCCAACCCTTTCTTTTACTGCGACGAAAACGAAACATACCGATGGGCATATTTAAGCCAATTCTGGGAATCATTCAAGATATTCTCGAGATAGGTGTCAGCCTCTTGCTGGAGAATATCGTGGAAGGCTTCAATTTTGCTTCGCGTGCCCATAAACTGGCTGAGCCGACGGCGGTATTCGCTCAATTTTGCCCCAGATTGTTGTAATGCTGGACCTTCTTCCCAGCCGACGAGTCTTCCTGCCATGGCCAGTTTCGGTCGACCGCTGTAAATACGACTCTTCTTGTCCAGCATTTCAGTTGCGTATTGCGCGTCATTGATAACGATGAAGTGTTGTCCGAAGGCACTGACATGCACGATGCTCCCTGTAAGGTGTCATTTAGTGTTTGAAACTCTGGAGGAGACAATGGGCTGACCGTACGCATCCGCCCACTTCTTGAAGGCTGACCAAGGTCGGGTTCGAGGCAAGTCGAGAATGTTCTCAATCAGTGGATAGGGTTTAGGTCCTGGAGGGAGCGGAGCAGGATATCGCTGGGCATTTCGATGCCATAGAACAGCTAATAAGCTGACAGCCACAAGAAGGATAAAGGTACTAGATGCACTGATGATGGCGAGAGCGAGAGCGATTGGACCGAAGACCATGTATTTATAGGTTCTGGTATGTAGAACTGATACGAAGAAACACTGGTATGAAGAAACCAATTTCAAGATACGTAGCTATAAGCACGTTGTTAACTTACGTTGTTCTATCTCTTGAAATTCTTTTGATGTCAGCTTGCTCGGGACCGAATTACTCGGCTTAGGATAGACAAACGAATGCAAGAACTCATGCGGATAACTATGGAGAAGGGGTGCAGACAAGTACGTAATAGCGCTAGCGATTAGATTCATCACTAAATTTCGGTAGCTATCATAACCGGTTACCGTTCCGGCGAATCGATTATAATCTGGTGAAACCGCAACAATCCTGGTGCAACGATTTCAGACGATTCTATAGCAATATATACCATAATATGGATAGCCCCCTTTTCGATAATCGGGCTGCAATCGGGTAAAATAATCCTTTCGTGTTTTAATGTATAAAAATAATTATGCCTACTTGAAATTCGCCAAAATGAATCTGATGAGTTAAGGCAGGTTGTGAGCATTCCAGCTCTGTTTGTCGTTCTATACACTTGAACAATGACATGAAAATTTAATGAAATATGTATATTTGCTAACTAACAAGCAGTACAGATGATACATAGATTACATTGAGCCTGCACACCCGCAAAGTTGCACCTCACTGCCTGCTTTCCAAATCATACCACCTCCCCCTCGAATGTCTTGAATACAACAAAGCGGGCCCTAGACGTCGAAACGTGATTGTGAGTACTTGACAAAGAGCACTTGACGAAGGTTGGGCATTGCACTTGAGGCCTTGAAGAACTGGAGACACACGTTTGAAGGCTTTGAAGTTAAGGGAGTAAAGACCCGTGAGCTTGAAGGGAGGTGGCAAAGAGAACTTGAGGGAGATGGAGAGATACTTGAGGCTTGAAAGTTGAGAGTATACATCAGATACGAAGATGGGGCCCAGACAAGGGAAGGAAGAAAGGATGGAATCGTCCCGTTTCAACAAGTTGAACCAATTTATAATCCTCGCGACCCTGTGACTGTGCCATGCACGCCGCACGGCCTTTGAAACCCTTCGCTATCCCGGGTAAGGCTTACGCGTCGTACATACCCTGGTTTGCTTGGCGCCCAGTGCAAATACCTTGTCAGTGGTCCAAAACCTTCGAGCTTGCTGTCGAACGACTTGGAGTCCAGTCGCGAGACTGTCAGACATCATGTTGCGTCGAATCTCAATGCACGCAATGTACAGTTGCTTTGAACTTTGAAGTACATACCATGATCTTAATACTGTCCTATTTGTTGTGCTAGTACTTAAGAGTACTGCTTAGTAGGGAGCTCGTAAGTGCATGCAAGTTAAACAGATCAGTATTGGGATTAGGATATTCGATAGTTGTCTGATCATCCTAGATAATTACCTACAGTTAAAACTTTGAGAAAATGATCATTGCGGGTTCAGAACTGATTGCAGGTTGACCATAATTATTCTTGTGGGTCATATTGAGATGCGAGTAAAGAGAATTATCAACCGTAGATTTTATTCATGAAAAATCTCGTGTAATGATTTGATGTGGATGAAATCTGGTAAAATCATTCCCAAGAGCTCATTTACAAATGTAATTTCAACCAATAATTTTTCTTAGGTTGTAAACGGTTATTATGCTGTGCAAGCACAGGTAATTATCTCTTGATCTTGCGATTCGTGAAATCTCAAATGACGTTTCCCCTGATTTAGTGATGTTAAGAGTTTTTTTGGGAGGGAAGGGAAGGGCAACTAGGATTCCTGCAACAATGCCACTACTGAAGCGTTCCGAGGGGTGATAGTGCACTCGAACGGCTCTGGATGACTAGAAAAGTAATAATAAAAAAGGTAAATCAGCAACTGAAAAAAAAAACTAAAAAACGCAATGTCCGAAAGCAGGTTACTCGCCTGATAATCCCATCCATGAAGTTTCCCGAAGGCATAACAGTAACGCCGTTCTTCACAGCAGGTGAAATATCAAAAGCTGCAAGTACAGTTGCGCATGCGAGCCATACGGATGCATCGCCTAGATGCATGCCTGATAGCGATGGTTACTTAGAGGGATGGAAACTGATAGCGCTATCTAGCTTACTTACCTGGGCATATGCTATACCACGAAGTCGAATTGAGCGTTAATCAAGACGTTACCTACTAATAGACAAGGATCGAGCTCATACATACCGGCGTCCAAAGCCAAATAGGTATTCCCGCGGATCTTTTTGCTTGAAATTCCCGTTTGAGGGTAAGAAGCGCTCTGGGGAAAACTTATCTGGTTCGGGATAGACTTTCGGGTCGTTGTAGAACATCCTAATTATAATCCCCCGGAATAGGATTTAAGATCGAGTAAGTACCTATACCACTGGTAGCGGGATTCAGATAGACGCACGCGTTGTTTGTGAGAACCATTGAGCCTTTTGGAATAAAGTAGCCTTGGCATATGTCGTTCTCGGATACTACATGTGGAAGTCCTGTAAGCCATGAACCGTCAGAAGGGTTTTTTGAATTTATGAGTCTCGTTTTCTTCCGGGCTTACCGATAGGTCCAGCGGTATACACCCGCATCGTCTCCTGTATAAGAGCCTCCACGTAGGGCAGTTGATCGCGATCTTCGAGGGTAGGTAACCTGTCGTGCCCCACTACAGTATCGATTTCCTTTTGAGCTTTCGATTGAGCGGATGGTTGGAACACCATTCCCATGAAAAAAGCTTCAATTACAGCGACTGTCTGGAGGATACTTAGTAAATGCGAAGAATGGGGTGAAATGGGGAAACGCACCGTGTCAGCACCACCTGGAAAGTTGTAAATTGAACCACTACTTCGAGATGCAGAGTTAACTAACCAGCGATTATAGAAGCTGCAACCCATCTTATGAGGTGCTCTTCATCTGGATTGAGGATCTTGTTTGAATCTAGTTGAGTGTACAGATATGAAGGGCGGGCAGTTCCCGCAGCCTTGAGAAAAAACAAGTTAATGATTACAGTCAAGCTTTGCGTCGGTTTTCGTTAGCTAACCATCTGCGATTTGGTCCAGTTGTATGGAACATGCAACATATCTTGCAAGGTCTTCCGGTAATGATGAGCCTTCTTCTTCCATGCGGCCCCTGGGAACCATGAAGGGACGTATTGAACTAGATATGTAGAACCGGCGTTTGATAAAAATGCCAAGACAGTAAGGCACTTTTTAAGTCACTTACGGATAGGAAACGCGTCAACCAGGAATGCATTCGGTGCAACTGTTTCCGAGAACTGATCCATCGCTTCATCGACCAACTCCACCATCTTATCGTCCCCATTCCCGGATGTCTTGTATCCATACGCCATCATGAGAACGATACCTCCGGCATATCTAGGAACGAATAAGTTCTTTCATGAGTTCAACTATTCCGAGTCTTCTACTGTGACAAAACAACAACACAACACACCGACGGATATATTTAACATAGTTCTGAGAATCTTTCGCGATGTTCTTGAGATAGTCATCAGCCTCGTGCTGGAGAATATCATGGAACGCTTCAATCTTGCTTCGCGTGCCCATAAATTGGTTGATCATACGACGGTTCTCGCTCCACTGCGTTTCCCCGAACTGACCTAACGCTGGGCCTTCGTCCCAGCCCATGAGTTTTCCGGCCATCATCAGTTTCGGCGATTGCTGTAGATACGACTCTTGTTGTCCAGCAGATCAGCCGCGTGTTGCGCGTCATTGAGTACGACGATGTGTTTTCCGAAGGCACTGACGTGCACGATGTTCCTGGCCATTGGTGTCGGTTAATTTGTTGGCACTCTGGGGGAGAGGATGGACTGACCGTAAGTATCTGCCCACTTTTTGAAGACTGACCAAGGCCGGGACTGAGGCAAGTCGAAGACGTTTCCAATGAGAGGATAGGGTTTGGGTCCTGGAGGGAGTGGCGCAGGATATCGTTGGGCAGTTCGATACCATAGAATAGCTGATAAGCTGAGTATTGCAGCCACAAGAGGGATACTGGTACTAGATGCACTGAACATGATGATAGCGATTGGCGAAGATGGGGAGCATGTGTTTTCCGGCTCCGCTAGAGTCGAATATTGACAAATTTATTTCAAGAACATTCATACTGTCCCGGATTTGTGGAGATTCTTCCCATGTCAATTGTGCGACTCCTACTAAGATAAACAAATGCAAGGGATGGCTATCATATTATCTTTCAAGAAGGATCTGTGTAGGTGGTGGCAGGTACTTAGTGGCAGGTAGTGGCTGAAGAAAAGATACGCGCAGTCAAAGGAATTCTCACAATCACATATTCAATGCACCTGAATTCATGGTGTACAAAAGTTGTCGACGACGCATTCGATGAAGGTGAAGATTGTTTGTGAGCGAATTTAGATCCTGCTTGAAACGACAGCCTGACGTCGGGCCACATCATCAACCTGAAGCAGACGCAACAAACCTGAAAAGGTTGTTGTGCAGTGGCTGAAGTTGACGATGCTACGTGCTTTCGACATTACCGAATCTCACAAAGTAAAAAAAATCGACATTGCTTAAACTTATTGGCCAACGTGGGGATCGAACCCAAGACCTTCGCGTTAATATTACTTCAAGGATTATATTAGCACGACGCTCTAACCAACTGAGCTAGTCGGCCATACTTATAGACATGATGACTGCATTCTTGAACCGATCCGAATCCGTAGCGTGGAAATAATAATATCCGAGACTCCGAGTACCATCTCTTCTCCTGCTATCACCTTGCTTGCCTCGTCGTCCATTATACGCAACTTCAGCTCAGAAATTACCACAACTGGGAAGAATTCGCGTACTTCGCCCAACCTCTTGAGCTTCACGCTTGATACACGGATTTCTGGTAGAAATCCAATGAATAACATGGCGACAGGACACGAGTCGGTGGACGCGCTGTGCAAAGAGGTCTATAGACACGTAAGTCTCTCCCATTATTCCAGCAAATCTCTCTGCTTAATCCTCTCAGCTCGACGCCAAACAAGCGGAAATCATTCGATTAACAGATGCGTTGAAAAAGGCAGAGGATTCACGACGAGAAGTGATTCATTTCCACCACAATTCCAACTTTCCAAAGCTCAACCATCCTTCTTTTCAGCTGACTAAAGAACTCACGAAACACGAAATCGCCAACGCAAAATTCAGTCATCTTCTCACTAAAGCAGAAGAGTCTCGGCGCGAGGTCGAGGAAGCCGCAAAGATGTTAAATCCCAACGAGATTACATGAAATCTCAGCTAGACCGCGTTCAAGCAGAATCTGCGCTCTTGAAGGAGGAACTACACCGAACAAAGTCGGAATCGAAGGTGGAGCTTGATAATGTCATAACCAACGCGAAAGCAGAAGCCGATGCGGCGAAGGAAGAAAGAGATCGAGCAGTGAAGATCTTGCACCAGGCGCAGCTGGAGATAGCAGAGACGAAGCGAAACTGTGAAAAGGGCGAAGTCACTGTGCGTTACCCTCCTCTACATGATCATAGCTCGAACCTAATCCTTCTATAGATCTCCCATCTGCGACGCGAAATCACCCAGTGGAAAGACCAAGCAAAGAACTGGCAGACGCATTTTCTCAAGGCCGAGGAAGAACGCCGGGAACTCGCTACCAAGGTCGAAGAATTACACGGACGCGAGGCGTCTTCTCTCATCCAAATCCAAAATCTAAAAGCGGAAAAATCCAGGTCGAGGATACCCAAATCTGAGGAACTCAACAAAGATGATGACGCCCCAGTTACACCGCTTACTCCGACCTCGACTTCTCGACATGCGCATGACGATAGCATGGATGGTAGCGATAGTGCTACTCCACCAGATTCACCAGTTCAACGAACACAGAAGAAAATACACGTCGTGTCCACTTCCAACGCTGCACGTGCCTCGGCCAGTACGTCCAAACGCACTGGTGCTGATTCATCCTCTCGTCCACTCGATACTCTCACACCCAAGGCAGCCAAACCGCATAAAACACCAAAGGCCTTCGCTGCTACTGCATCGACATCAAAGGACGCTGGTCCTAGTGCGAGATTGCAGAAGCCATTCCCATTCACATTTACCTCGGGTGCTGCAAGTGGCAGTGGCAGTGGAAACTGCGATCTCGGAAAACGCGAGAACAGCAGGTGGTACATCATCCAGTGCGCAGGTCATCGAAGGCGGGGCTGATCAAGACGATGATCAGGAAGAAGACCAAGAAGAGTACGAAGCTTCTTCACACAACGACGACGAGGCAGAACCCGCAGCCCAATCACACGCTTCCTCATCATCAAGGTCAAATGCTGCGCCTCGCAGCGTCACGCGTACGCGCCTCCTTCGCCGTGTCAGTGAACACCGGTTCGTTATCCGTCCTGATTCCGATGTGAAGCAGGAGGATGGGGAGGGCGAAGGTCTTGATAGTAATACCAGTTACGGCTCTTCTTCTGCGAGCGGGGGAAAAGGGAAGCAGCGGGCTGTGGATCATCGGTCGATGGATGAATACTTGGAAGACGTGCAGGAGGAACGACGACAACAGCAGCGGTCGCAGAGTGCTTGGGACTCTGTTAATGATCATCATGATCAAGGGGATGATCATTCTGCTGTGACGGAGAATAGAAATAGATCGAGAGGGCGGGTTGGAGCCGCTCATGGGGAGAGCTCGGGTGAGCGGGAAAGAGGGAGGAGGGTCACGAAAGGTGTGGAGAGGTATGCATCGCCCTCGCGGTCGAGGTTACGAAGGAAGTCTACGCAGAGGCGACCGAACTATGTCGAGGAAGAGGAAGACGATGACCCTCGTGAGTCGGATGAAGGTCGAGATGGTGCAGAGGAACATGGGGAACCCCGACCCAATGTCGTAGTATCCAGCCATCAAACCCGACTCCCTACATCCCGACGGAAACCAGCACCGGAGGAACGACCTCTAGTCGATGCACACTACGCATGCTATACCAACACCACACCCACCAGCCAATAACAAAAACGCCCAAAACACCCAAAACACGAGAGAGGCCCCGTCCGACCCCGACTCGCGCTCTTCCCGCGAATCGACGTCCTCTGAAGACGAGCTGATGATCACTGCGGATGGTGTAGGGGTGTTGGCGTCGATGCGTCGCCGCGGACACCGTTGGCGTCCAAGAAGCGGGTGCATACACCTCTTATGGCTGGTGCGTCTGCGTCGGCGAATGCGGCTGAGGGAGCGAAGAGGAGACGGAAGCGGTAGTGGGAGTGGTAGTTTTTTTTTCTGTTGTTGTTCGACGCAGCGATACATTTATCGTCTTTTCTCGTCCTTCTGTACCCTTCGACGACTCCTACGATACGTTCGCGCTGTGTTCCAATTTCCGTGCGATACGTTACCCTTCAACTCCTCATTCTTTCTTCTGTCTCTCCCGAGTTTACGTTCCCTCAGTGTCGTCATTTGCTTCCTGCATTGTCGTGGCATTTTCCTGGATGTTGTATCACTTTGTTCATCCATTCTCCTGTTCAGATAGGATTCAGCATTATCGTTATTTCTACCATGTATTTCTATACTACCCAGTGCCTCAGTTCTGTTTAAATCTCAGTGCTTGTTCAGTACACATATGCAAGGGTCCAATATTTCATCCAGCTACTTAGGCACTGGAGGAAGACAATCAGTCTAAGGATTATTCTAGAGACTACATTCTTGTAACAAGTTCTTCGGCGCACAAGAATGTACAAAAAACAAAACAAAAATCTATCTAATCAATAAGAATCAGTCAGAAGGCCATGTCGGTATTCTGTGTTTGAATTTTCTGTTGGCTGCGAAGAGATCAAGGTATAAGGGTACCCGAATATGAGCTGGTATAGGGAAGCAAGCAGTGGATGGTCGGGGGAATCTTCTTCGAGTGATAAGAATGAGGCCAACTGCTCAGGCATGATGTTGTAGGTGTCATCATCATTACAGTTTGCACCTATGACCTGGAAAGCAGAATATTGAGCGGACTAGTTAAGGATTTCAACACAAAATAAAACATGCCTCCTGCTGCAACCAACGGAGTGTTGATAGGGGTACAACTGCCTTCCTCTCAACCTCCTCATTCTCCAGAAAGCTATACTCTGGTGGGAGTACTGTGACCGCAGCATCGATATAGTAGGCGGTCTTGTCTTCAGGTAATTCAACAGGGATCTCTCCTGCTTCTGGATCAGGTAGTCGGTGATGTCGGAGATATAAAGCCGAGCTTTGAGTCTTCGCTCAGCTTCAAAACCAGACACTGAGCGAAACAGTCTGTCGAGTTCAGCCAGCTCAGACGGTGTTTTGAGCAAGGAAGAAAGGGGTGGGTCATGGCTCTTCCAGTAAATGCGCATGCTGCTGGCCTTCACAATGTGACTGCGGTAGATATTTTTGACAGTCGGGGCATAGAGGAAGACACGTCGCCGGAGGAGATTCTGTTCGTCCCGGAGGAGATTCTGTTCGTCCCGGAGGAGATTCTGTTCGTCCCGGAGGAGATTCTGTTCGTCCCGGAGAAGATTCTGTTCGGCCTGAAGTTTGTTGAAGTCGCGACGTAAGTCTGCAACGGCTGTAGTGAGATCTACCATGGACGAAATGTGGTGACCTCCTGGCCTCCTGGCTAGCCGTCTTGTAGTTAGTGAAGAAAAGTCCTTCAACAAAAAGGGGTAGTTGACTTAAATAAGTAAAGTATGCCGACACCATTAGATTAGATTATTAATACTAATCAGTAGTTAGATGCATACATCCATAAAATTGTGTACTCGGAGTCTTGCATGGATTCCATATATTCAAAGTCTTCCCAAAGTTGTATAACTTTAAAATATTCAGGTGCTGGATGAATCTTCTTGTTGGATGTAAGGATCATCATGGAAAGAATGTTAAAAAACTAACTTTCATCCAAGCTAACATTGTCTTCAGTGACGCTCTCCCAAAGTAGCAGATGCAGTCTGGAATAATGGCACTTTGAATTAAAGGCAACAGTTCCGCAGAAGGAGGCAATGGAACAATGAAGTCTGGAAGCCGGTCTAGAGGGTGCCTTGGTGGATAGTAGATGAAGGATGAAGTTCCACTCTCCAATGAAAAAGACATACCGTAAAATATCCCATTGATGCCCACAAGCAAGAAATCTCAGTATGGAACGAGTCAGATCCACGCGATGGGCGCCCGTGTACACCACCAATGTAGAAATTTTGGGAACGCTTTGAGTCATGTAAAAAATCATAAGAAGATGCATGGTGGGTGGAAATCTTCTCCTGCAAGGGTCAATGCTCCTCTTTTGAAAGTTCCAATGGCACATTAAATATTGAATGAAGGCTGCGCAGAAATAAACGTGTATCCCCAATTTCCAGTTTAAGCAGTTTATCAAGCTCATCCGGAGAGAAATCAAAGTTTACAAGAACACATAGTATTTGGATTAGTTTGGGGCGCTTGGCAATGGGAACAGTGGAAAGGATGCTGATGTAAAGCTGGTCAAGCATATCAAATGGTGATTCAGATCCAATTTGGTCTTGCATCACAATAGCCAGACGTTCTGTTGGACGATAATATTGGTCATCAATGAACTTTATGATGGTGGATGCATAGATAAAATAGCCAGATGACTTCTGCACAAGTTTATGCAAGACTTCGGGAAATGGCCATGGGAGAGGGACTGTGGCCATAGTCTGACGGTGCTCATGATGAATTCGAGAAAATTC